GGGATTTAGCTCAGTGGCACCACACCTGCCTTGCAGGCACAAGGTCCTGAGTTTGATCGCCAGTACTGAAAAAAAAGAAACTAAAATACCCATATTAGTCCCCATAATCCACTTACAGTCTAGACAGGAGTTCTCACCTTGGCTGCACATTAGAATCTCATGAAGACTTTTTAAAAACTTTCTACTGAAGCATCATATACAAACGTAAAGCACTCATACTCACACAGATCAGTCATCTTTACAACTGGATGCCACCAGAATCCAGATGAAGGACAGAACATTCAGCACTCTGGAAGCCCCTCTTGTGTCCTTTTCTAACCACTAACTAACTCTCCAGGGTAATTGTTATCCTAACTCCAAAGCAGCATAGACTAGTTTTTCCTCTTTTTGAGCTTTATATAAATGAATCATTTGTTGTGTACTCCTTTATGTCATGTTTTGCTAAATGTTATGCTTGTAGGGTAGATCTAAGTTTTTGCTGTACGCAGTTGTATACTGTTAGTTCTTACTGCTGTAGAGTATTCCATAATCATTTTTCCATTCTACTGTTGATGCTATTTGGCTGGTTTCCACCATTTGCTTATTATAAATAGTACTACAAGCCAGGTATGGTGGCACACTCCTGTGATCCCAGTACTTGGGAGGCTGAGGCAGGAGGATCACTGTAAGTTTGAGGTTAGTCTAGGTTACATAGTGAGTTCAAAGCCAGCCTGAACTACATAGTGACCCCGTCTCAAAAAACCAAAAATTAAATGAATAAATAAATATAAATAGTGCTGCAGTCATTTGGGTACACATCTTCTGAAGCACATATATATGCACTGCTGTAGGGTATAGACTCTATAAGGGCATTATTAGGGTGTAGGGACTTTAGTATATGCTGCCACACAGTTTTCCAAACCAGTTGTACCACCTTGTACCTCCATGGACAGTAGAGGAGAGCTCTGGTTGAACCACATTCCCACCAACACATTTCCTTTCTTTTGTTCCTATTAACCATTCTAGTGAGCCGATCAATGGACACTGGGCTGTAGCATGGCACTGTGTTTTTAATTTGTATTTCCCTACTGACTAATAAAGCTGAGTACCTATTAGTGTATTCACCATTTCACTATATTCTATTTTTCTATTAGGTTGTCATTTTCTAATTCTTTTTTTTTTTTTTTTTTTTTTTTGGTACCAGGGATCGAACTCGGGTCCTTGTGGTTGCAAGGCAAGTGACGGAACCACTGAGCTAAATCCCCAGCCCTTCTAATTCTTTATATATTCTGAATGTGAATTCTATTTTTTTTGGTGCTGGCAATCAAACTCAGAGCCTCAACACCTGCCAGGCAAGCTCTATGCCACTGAGCTACATCCCCAGCCTGTATATATTCTGAATATGAATCCTTTGTTAGGTACATGGACTACAGCTACTTTGTTGCCTCCCTTCTTCAGGAAGAAAATCTCTTAATTTTAATATATCTACATAATCCATTTTTATCTATATATATGGTTAATGTATTTTTTAATATCCTATTCAAGAAATCTTTACCTACTTTAAGGTCATGAAGACAGTCTAGTGTTTTTTCTTAAAGTGTTATTTTGCATTTTGCATTTAGATATGTGATCTATTTGGAAATGATTGTTATGTGGATGGTAGGGGAAGAAGTAAAGACATCTTTTTCTGTATGGATATCCCAAATGACCTATTCCATTTATTGAAAAGACTATCCTGGGCTGGGGATTTAGCTCAGTGGTGCCGCCACCTGCCTCGCAAGCAGAAGGTCCCGAGTTCGATCCCCAGTACCAAAAGAAAAGACTATCCTGCACAACCACACTATAGGGCTACCCCTGTCATCAATCAAGAGGCGCTATGTGTGGGTCTGCTTCTTTTTGTTTGTTTTTTGTTTTGAGAAAGAGTCTCACTATGTAGTTCAGGCTGGCCTTGAAGTCCCTATGTAGCCAAGGCTGACGTCAAATTCACAGCGATCCTTCTGCCTCAGCCTCCCAAGTGCTGGTATCACAGGTGTGTGTCACTATACCCAGCAGTAGGTCTCCTCCTAAACTCTCTTATCTGGTGAGCTTTTAAAAAATCTTGATGACTGGGGCCAGGGATTTAGCTCAGTTCCACTGCCTGCCTTGCAAGTGCAAGGTCCCAAGTTCAATCCCTGGTACCAAAAAAAAAAAAAAAA